GTGGTGAGAAAACCGGTGGGGGTGGTGGGGGTGGTGAGAAAACCGGTGGCGGTGGAGGTGGTGGCGATTGGGGTAAAGCAACCGGGGGAGGCGGTGAAGGAACCAAAACAGGCGGCGGCGAAGGCGGAGGAGGAGAAGGCAAAGAAGGAACAAAAGGTTTACATCTAAACGACTTACAATCCACAGGCCTAGACAAGAACGACTTACACTTCGCCGCCGGCCTCTGCGCCGGCCTATTCGGCAAGCAATTCCTCTTATCATCGAAACTCGCCAAGCCCAGACACACCGGCGGCTCGCCGGTGAAGAAGTTGTATGAGTAAGTGAAATTCTGCAGCCTCGGCAGCGAGCAAATACTGGCCGGAATCGTCCCAGATAGCAAGTTGTGGGCCACATTGAGCTGCTCCAAGCTCACCATCCCTCCAATCGTCTCCGGCAGCGAACCCAAGAACTGGTTGAAGCTCACATCAAACACCGTCAAGTTCTTGAGCATCCCAATCTCCTCCGGCAAGCAGGACCTGAACCCATTGTTCATCAGAATGATCTCGTTGAGGTTCGACATGTTGCCCAGGCTCGCCGGAACGCAGCCGTGGAACTTGTTGTTGGCGAGGACGATGACGGAGACCGGCGAGTTCCCGAAGTTATCCGGCAGATCGAACCTGAACCTGTTGTGATTGATGAAAATGGCGTCCAAGTCCTTGTCGAACAGCTCCTTGGGCACAGTCCCTTCGAACTCATTGAACCTCAGATCCAAAAATTTTAGCTTTGGCAGCTGAAGAACAACCCGAGGAAACTTCCCAGCAAACCGATTGTTGCTGATATCGAGCTCAAAGAGTAGCTTGAGCTGCTTGAACTTGTGAGGCACAGTCCCGCAGAAGCGGTTGGAGTTGATGTGGAACAATGCGAGATCTGCAAGCAGCCCAAGCTCTTCAGGCAAGTACCCAGCAATGTCGCCATGGTTGAGATCAATCCCAGCTACGGTTCGGATGGAGCTGTTGTCTAGGGCTTTTGTGCAGAAGACTCCGGTGTAGCTGCAGACATTAGATCCGACCCAATTACCCGTGAGATTAAGCGGGTCGGAGAGAATGGCTTGCTTCCAAGCTTGTAAAGCTATGTAAGCATTTCTGATTCTCTGGTTCTCGAAAACCAGAGATGGGTCGACGGTGACTAGCTCGCCTCGGTCGCCGAACTCGTCCCTGTAGTAGAGGAGCTGGCGCTGCTTGATGTAGAGGGCTTCGGCGTGGGAGAGAGCTCCATGGCTGATAATGCCGTTGTGGTGGTGGTGCTCCTGAGCACCACAGACGACGGAGAGTGATGAGGAGGCGAGAACGAAGGTGATGAGAAGAAGTGAGAGATCAAGGAGGGTGGTCTTCTTCTTCATCTCACATGAGACATCTGAATCTCCAAATGCCACTTTAAATTTGTTTAAGCTTATAGCACACAAAAAAAAAGAAGAAAAATTTAAAAAGAAAAAGAAAAACCCTTTTCTTTGTTTCTCTCTCTTTTTCTCTGCTGAGATTGCAAATGGGGTTTTGGAGACCTTGAGATCTGAGAGGAAGAAAATGTAGGAAAGAAGAGAGAGAAAAGAGTTTTTGGGGGTTTGAGGTTTGAGGAGGAAGAAAGGGGTGGGGAGGGGAGTGGGGGCTGTTTTCTAGGGATTTTGGAGATGTGTGTTTGTGTAGTTTGTACTAGTGAAATAGATAGAGAGAGAGAAGAGAGAGAGAGAGAGATTACACATCAAAAGACAGCTAAATCACAGCTCAAAGCCCACCAGATTCTCTCTCTCTCTTCCTTTTCTTTTTCTTCTCTCTCTCTCTCTCTCTCTCTCAAACTGCTCCTTTCTATTCTTTTTTCAGAATCCCATTCCCATTATTCAACTCTCTACAAGCTAAAGTTAGGAATAAAGTCATATACCCCCCCTTTTTTTAATTAAATAAATAAATAAATAAATATTACAAATTTGCAAATTTGGGTGGCTTGTTAATAATATTGACCAATAATTATTGTAATGTTTATAAATTGAAGTTGTTAGGGGGAGTTGGTAGCTTGTAAATGCTTAATCTCACGACAATAAAATGAATTTTTCACGAGATGTGAAAATTTAAGAGCAATTTGTGGTGGTGGTGATGGTGGTGGTGGATGAGAGAGAGAGAGAGAAGAGATTTCAATCCACTTTATGGTGGTGGGGAAGTGAAGTTGTTCTTGTCAGAACAGAGCAACACGCGCGAGTCTCTGTTTTCTCTCTCGGAGTAAATGGGACTGCCAGTAACGTTCTTTCAAAATTACGTCATTGTCCTTGTGCGTTTTCATGTCTGAATTCTCACGGCGGCTACAACACAATACGCATCGGACATTTGGAGGGCACTTGACCATACAATTAGAGAACAATAAATCATTTTCACAACTTTATTAGTCAGTTGGCTTATTCTCATTTAAACAAATTATTACTATTAATTTGTTCTCCCTTGTACAAGTGCAAATTTGATTAGCAATGCATAACGACATTGGCATTCATTTTCGCAATACAGTATAACATTTAGTTTTTAAAAAAATGAATAACATTTTCAAATAATAAAAAGTGTAAGTTTTTCTAAACCAACGAAGAGGAAAATGAATCCCTAGCATTACATTTTTTTTTTAATTATAAAAGAGTGATAGTATTTTATTGATAAGATGAACAAAAATAAGTATAAAACAACTAAAGTGCCGAATATGAATACAACTTCTTTAGTGACCAAACGCAATAATGAGTTGAATTGATTTAGAGAAAATACACACAACTCAAAAAATGATTAAACCTATAGTGCCACACCGACTAAA